ACCTCGTGTGAAATTCGGCATTATAGCTTTAGAAACGGATTCTTGCCATGGATTACAATCATTTTTCACAACAAAAAGTACAAAGAAGGGAAAAATGTTTCTACGATTTTCACGAACATTAAGATAGTTACGAACCTACCTCAAAATTTACAAAACTCGCGAGATATTTTCTTCGTCAGTTGGCATGTTTTGTAGTGGTAAATCATTGTAATCCCTTTCAAAGACCCATTCCAAAGTTGGACTACATTTTACAATTTGGAACTATAAATTCTAGCCAGGTTTAAAAACAACGTAAGTACCATTAGTTTCCCTATGCGCATAAGTTTTTTTTCAGAAGAGCCAGAATTTATAGTCCCAAATTGCAGAATGCAGTCCGGTTATACTGCTGAATTTTACTTGAGTTATGCAAGAATTCCTTCTTGTGGTGCCATTTTGTGGGCTTCCTTGAAGCTTCCTTAATAGCAATGTAAATCATATGGGGCCTTCTAAGGAAAAAATCTATTTCAGGAACGACAATGAATAGAATCCTGAGACTTTCAGAGCCGACATTTCCGTTCCAATCCATGGAACGGAATTCCCAATTCCAAATCCATGGAACAGAGCGATAGGAACACATCGAGAGTTTTAAAAAGAGGACAATAGTTGAAAACTGCTGGCATGATGGCGTCAAAATTACGGGGAAAGAGATAAGTCGATTGAGATGTTTCAAAACGCCCGTTCTCCCACATACACATCCATGTTGAGGCATCGTAAGTGCGAAAACGCCTTCATTTTAGATGACTGCAACTTTTACTACATGTGCAATGTTACGAAACCGGTGAAGTGAGAGCCTTTTTAATGCAGAGGAGGATTGAGAGAAAACTCAATGAAAAGCACAAATCTGAATCGGAAGATTCCAACAAGAGTATGTTTAATGAGAAAATGAAGAGAGAGAGAAAGGAAGGAAAAGAAGAAGCAAACAACATAAAAATAATGATAGAGGAACTAGCCTCTGCGTTTCTTGACAGGAATCCCATCCGCGTCAATAACCGAAATTTGTTCGTGACTAGTTGATATTTACTCTTACAAAGGCAGCCAGGAAACTTGCCATGCACAGATAAGCCAGGAATAGTGATTCTTTATTGAAAAAAAACCAAATATTGATGTCAAATCGGTTTCGAAATCTAGGAACGGCAAATTGATGTCCGCTTGGGCCAGGACGCCGGGAAACCCGTAAATTCCGTCCTGGATCCTGGCGAATTTATCACGATGAGGTAGCAACAAAATCGCAACTTTATTCAATAAATTGCATCATTTCCGCTAAAAATGTTACTTGTACCTCGTTCATCGGAACAAAGCCTCGCCTAACAAATGACCTCGCCTGCGGCTTGTAGGCGCGCTGCTCCCAATGCTGTTCGAGCAAGAACAGAGGGAGCGCCTTCAATTTATAGTGTATGCAACATAAGCATCCCTAGAACATGAATAGTTGCATCAAGGCGCTGGTTGCTATCGGCAGCGACCGAAGAGAACGATACGTGCGATGATTGCACATAATTCATTCACAATAATTGATCAGATTTTTCCGTCTCCATTAGAGGGGCTTGGAGGACATGGCGCATAAGTACAGTTTTTGAAAAAGTCGAAATATTAATAATTTCAAGTAAAACTAGTCTCAATGCATCTCCTATGAAACATTCGCTCTGGAAGTCCAATTATTAAGCGTCAAAAAGTCAGTTTGAACTTTCTTTCAACCGTACGGATCCATGTAATTTCGAAACTTCGAACACGTATTTCTCGAAATAGCAAAAACTGCACTTATGCACCTTGTGTTCCAAGCCCCCCATCTGGGCATCTTCGGACAGATATTTCGGGTCCGATGAAATTGCAGCCACTTGGACTGGAACTGGAACGCGCGTTTTAAACCATGGAAATACAGTCGGAGCAACCGTCGAATGAACGGATTTTTATTCTAAAACATTTTTCGCCTCCAGCAATGAATACATAAAGAGAATGGAAGCAGGGTGGCTAGCAAACTTTTCTTTATTATTTCCTGACTTTTCCCGACTTCTAATGAAGTTCTCTGACTTTTTTACGACCCACTGTCATCGGAAATACCGCTTGAGAGCGTCACGCGGTTGGCACAACAACGCGATCAGCTGGCCTGTCGCTGACCCGATTTTTACGTGGAACCCGGCTCCACAAACCGATGACCGTTGACGAAATTCCCTGATTTTTCCCGGTCGAGTTGCATTCCCTGATTTTTCCCGGTTGAGTTGCATTCCCTAACTTTCCCGGTCGCTAGCCACCCTAAGGAAGACTTGAAATAAGAATCAAGGCTAAGGGAAGTCGTAGGGGCGCATGTGCCTACTTAAAAATCGCAGAACAACAGTCATCGAAGCATGGAACTCGGCGAGGGTAGGTCAAAAGAAGGCACCGAGCGACCGAGCCTTCCTTCAGCGGTAACAACGTAATATTTCAGTCAGTCCAGCTCAGGTCAAAGCCATGCATATTACTCTCAATGCAGCTGGTCAAACGACTGACGCAAAAACAACCTCGGCGAAGATGTTATCCGAAATGTTCTTGCGGCGGCGGTCTGATTCACCATTTCGACCATTCATCGATCGGGTCTCAGGTGGTCAGCTCTGATGCGCTTCAAGTCCCGGTCCCGCTAACTCTAGTCGAATTAATAAATAACCGGGTAAATACAAAAGATTTACATACGTAGAACTGCTCAAAGGGCCGGGACCGAGAGCTGCTGTGCTAAGGAACAACATCGTATGAACCTTCAGGCGTTGCCAAATTTCATCCGATAAAAACCGAATTTTCAGGGAGACTTGTGGATACTTTTCTCCCGATTTTTCAGCTAATTTCATTCGCAATTTCGTCTGCAGTATCCGGGATTATTAAAGAAATACGTACAGGGTTGCCACCGAATTTGGAAAAATAAGTTCCCCGACATTTCCCTGATTTCTCTGACACATTTTGGGGAAACTCCCTGACAATTGAAATAATGCCAGATTGTTGAAAAGACACAGTTAGAAATAGTTTTCAGGCAAAATTTGTTGTTCGGAACGTCAAACCAACTCGAGAACGCAAATAGAGGTGGTTTGACGATTTTTCCCTGAAATTTTCGTCATTTTCCCTGACATTTCCAGATTTTCCTCGGCTTTTAGAAGATCCCTGACATTTCCAGGTTTTCCTTGACTTTTTAAAATTCCCTGACAATTCCCGATTATCCCTGACTGTGGCAACCTTATGTATAACTTTCCTCGAGAATGAATGTTTAGTAGGGGGAAATGCGGCAACTCTGGAACGTTGATACGTGGTTTTTCCTGAAGACGGGAGAGAGCGGAGCATTCATAAGTGCGGAGGCAGGTGACAAATGGGTCCGCTCGGGGTTTGTTGGTGGTCAACCTGTCCGAGGCGACTTTCCTGTCTTTGTGCGGCCCGATAAAACATTAAATCAAATATTCTCTCAAACTTAATCTCGGTTTAATCTCGGAGCCGTCGCTTCAGCGTCGTCCCCTGCCCTGGCCCTGGGACGTCCACGTCCATAAATAGTTCAGTTGAACCGGTGGACGGAGGACCCAAACCGGTACCGCTGGTGAGTCCTTCATGTTGCTCACCGGTGCCTCACCGATGAAATTTGAAACCCAACAATCGCTTAACAATCCATACAAAAAAAAAAAAAAAAAAAAAAAAAAAAAAAAAAAAAAAAAAAAACCTGCCGACGTGACGGAACAACGCGCGCTGTCGTTAGTACTGCCGTGCTGAGGAAAAACGCCGTAAGAGCTCTCAGACGTTGCCGGATCTCCTTCGACGAATCACGAATTTCCGGGAAATTTTGGGAATGTTTTCATTCCAATTTTTCAGAAAGTTTAGTTCGTAAATTTATCGAAATTAGTCTTTGCTCATTTCAAGGAAAAATATTCATATTTATCTTCGAGAATAAATATTTTCAGAGATGAAATTTGGCAACATTCGAATGATCATACGGTGGTTTTCCTCAGTACGGGAGTAGGTCACGCTGTGCAGAATTGTGTCTCGTTTATTACAACGGGGGAACAAATATTCCAGGAACAATGGGAGGGAGCCTTGAATAAGTAAGAGTAAATGCTTTGCCATGAGTAATAATTTTGATAATTCGTCACCTCATTAATGGCGAATTTTACTGGGATTTATCGAGGCAATAGACCGGGATTATTTCAATCGGCAAAATTCAAACAAAAAATAAAAACTAACCTTTATTTTTCCACTGTAAATTATGTTAGACTTTTAAATGAGGGGTGATACCACTACTCGACCACATGAGAGGTCGTGTTGCCTACACTAAAAATTGAGGGCAAACTAACAGGAGGTTAAAGTAACTTCTTCCAGTTTGGTAAAAAAGGAGTGAGCGTGCTACTTCTTGACGATAGGGCTATTCGACCACGTGGGAGCTCATGTTGCTTACACACAAAAAAAAATTTAAGTTCCCCATCCAAAGAGCACAGCTATTGAAGCCAAACGGCAAGGAAGAAGTGAGGATTTGTTTCAATCACACACTAAATGAGTTGTATAAAAGTGACCCCTAAAACTAAGGGAGTCAAGAGCTCTTGCGGGCAAAAGCGACTGTCTCATATGAGCTAATAGTCATGATGCCTGAGTTTAATATATTTCAGGGAAAGTGAAACACAGCCATATAGCCATAGCAAGTATGGCTATGCTGACCAAAAATTGGATGCAGTCGAAAAATCACAAGATATTGTAAACTTTGAGGACTTCCCATGTAAGTTCAGAAAATTACTCCAACTTTAAGGACAATCAAGGATTTAAAAATCCGAAAAAATTTGAAGTATTTAGGAATGTTTCGAAAGAGCACAGGTACTGTGAAAATGTAGGAAATTTTTTGCATCATATTATTAACAAGGAAAAAAGCGAGACTGCAGCGCGCACACAGTATCAAAGCATGACTTTTCTTGGAAGCAGTCAATCAATTAGATATCCAGATAACTCATAGGTAAATGACAGAATTCACCTACCTTGCATTTTCAAAAGAGGCAGATGGTGTAGATCCTACAGCGCCAAATGCAACACCTACTGCAAGACCCTCTGGTATATTATGCACTGTGATAGCAATAACAAGTAGAAGAATTCTTTTCCAGTGACTGTCTTCAATCTTAGATTTTTCGGAGGTATACTCAGGTTTAACTTCCCTGTCCGTCTTTCGACGGTACACATCAGAGGCATATGCAGAGAATCCTGTAAAAAGTAAAAGGAAGGCTGCATTGATGTTGATTGAATATACAACACAACAGTTGAAGAGAGAAAATTCGAAAGCTTTTAAATGCCATTAGGTGTTGCTAAAAATGTGAATGGTGTCCCTCACTCTAAGTAAAAAAACCTGACAGAAATTAAGTATGTTTCTTAAGCCACTGGATTTGGGGCTGCACAGTCTTGGAAACACTTATTGAGTTTACTAGGTTTTAAATTTCCATTCTTCAGTTGATGGAATAAATGCATTTTTTAACCGTGTACAAGGACTGGAAAAACATACTTTTACTGGGCTTTTACTTAATGAAAGATTTAGGGAATTTTGCGAAGGAGCTAATAGTAAATTAGGTACTAGAAAACAGGATTGGGCCTGAGCAGAAGGCAGTCATTATCAGCCTGCTTGTTTGCAAGAGGAGCTTTCAGGCACTTGTGTACACATTTGCAATTTTGCAACAATGATGTGAGTTAAAGCTTACAGTGCCTACCTGTTTTTTTTCTCTGTCTTTCATTGATTTGCTCTCAGTTAGGAAAGAGGTTTTTCTTGGAGATGAATTCATCATTTGGACCAGTATTTATTCAAATAATAACAGTGGAGTATTGGTACAAGCATTTTGCTAGGACATAGAGACTTAATATCAGGAGAATCCAACACCACAATTGAGTGGATTGACTTTGAAACTGTCTAAAATAATTTTATTGGATGGAAAAGAGAGAGAAGAATTCAGCAAAATGGATTACCTTCAATGGTAGTAGTATCATCATAATCACACTTCTTTGAGTAAGCACTATTGTAATCAAAATTCTGAGTATTTTTGCGTTGGCGATCTTTATGCATTGCTAAAAAACACAAAGTATTCATCATAGATAAATTATAATTCATTGTACAAGAAAATGTAAAATTACACATTTAAAATTGAAAAATACAAATAATTACGACAGGGTGGAGGCAGATAAAAAACATAGAGTGCCAAATTTTTTTTCAACATTTTGAATTTTTGGGAGTCAGTTATTCAAAAAAAAAGGAAAAACTGATGAAAATTTGCAAAATCATGCCACAGAGAAAAGATTCAAATTTTAAAACCCGAAAAATATGTTGTTACAAATTCGTAACGCTATGCTATAGAGGGTTGACTTGAGGAGGAACCCGAGCTTAAGGGAAAATGAAAGGTTTTTCCAAAAATCTGCTCTATGGGTACAGTTACAGGTAGCTTTTATTTTGATTGAGTGTGTTTCTCCCCTATATTTGATGGCAACAATGAAGAACACCAAAATAAATTAATTCAATATTTAACTTCTGTCTAAATGGGGAAAACTCACAGGGGGCAATCAAACATTATATCCACACTTTGTCCAGTTCTTTGAGAACTTTTTTAACAAGCTCTCATAAGGAATTCCAAAATATCTTTTATAAATTATGTTAAATTGCGTAAAAGCAACCTCCTTGCATTTCTGCTGATTCTTAACATGATGCATTCCATTGACTTTCTTGACATCATAAATTCATTATAAGTACCGCATACCTTCATTTTGAGTGCACAGCTGGTCAGTAGATATTACATTTTATGGTTGCATGGAAGGCAAACTCTACCTAAGCTGAGATTCTTTCTCCAATTCTCCATTTAGTTCACTACCTCCTTTTTGTCATGACGCTTCCGTTGAGGGTAAACGGTTCTTCATAATCAAGTAAGTGTATTAAACTAAGAAGAATGACAATTAGTTGGCAAACTTACAGATTACATTTCCAACACTGCATAAGCCAAACATAGATATACAGTGGTCCGTGAGGAATACAAATAGACTGCCGATGAAAAATCCAATGGCTACCGGAACAAATGCAAAAGCTCCATTCTTTCCATAGGAGCCAGAATTTTCTGCCATCTCTATGGCTGGAGCTAACAAAGACCAAAAGGACGCGGCAATCATTACTCCAGAGGCAAAGCCAAGACTTGCATCCAAAAACTTTCTCTGTGGGCAAAAATAGAGCATTGAGGTAGATATGTAAGTAGAATAATATCTTTCAGAAATTATTGATGAAACATGAACTCAGTTAAGCTGTATTCTTGGTATCTTCATGTACCTAGTTCTAACATTTTAGGATTAATTTTAACTTTTTGAATTGAATTGAGAATGCTTTTTTGATAGAAATCCTTCAAGGTACATGAAACATAAAAATTTAATCATTAATTGATCATGGATGCAGATTATAATCCTTACTTTGGTTTCAGTAGGCATTTAAAAATTTTGGTAAGAATACTATCACTGATGTTTGAAAAACCCTAGTGAAAAATTGTATTTAATGCTCCTCATATGCTCTGCTAATGAAGGAAACAAATTTACGAACAGGAAACTCTTAATAAAGTATGTTAAAAAAAGTACAAATTCGTTTCCTGCTTGACTTAGTTAAACACAATGGGAGTAACTTGTGAAAAATCCTACTTATTTTACAGAATAAATTTAAAAAAAATACAGAGATAATTAAGATGAAGACTTACGTGAGAGCCTTTGATGAAAATAATTACTCCTGCACCTAATGCAGTTAGACCCCACGTAAAAGCTGTGCCCAAAATCGTTTGTGTAACTGGTCCGTAATTTGGCAGCATTGTTGCAGAAAATTAAACCACCTGTAACAGTAATGATGACAATGATTGGTCAAAAGAAGTAATACATCAACAATAAGAAACAAATGTTTAGAATTCATTGTTTTGCAGTGCCTAGAGAAGATTGAAACAACGGATAAGGGCAAGAGGCTAATCACAAATGGTGAACTGACGATAGAGTATACGACAAATAACGGTCCAGGAAACTAGAATGGAGTGAATAAGTTAACTATTTCTTTTCCGACACATCTATATAAATGCATAATTTTAAGCCATTCTCGAAAGCAACGGTTTAAGCCGGCAGTTTAGTCCATATTTAGAGATTAAAAGTCTGTCAACCTCGTACTACTTACTTGGATACCTACTTGGAAATTTGAGGATCAAATTGATATTGAGGACACGAATATGCAAGAGCTGAACTGAAAAGATTCAGAGGCGAATATGTTGATGGATTTGAGTGACACGTCTATTGATTTACTCCAGAGAAAAAGCAATATCAGCAAAATCAAACAGTTTTCGCAACTTACAAACTCACGGCACAGCCAGTTGGCTGCTGATAAGAAAACAATAACATAACCTCAAAAATAAGTTTGCAACCGGCATCACCGTTGGCACCGGTTTGTGTGCTTTTTTACTGTTATCACTTATTAGTGTTATCAGTCATCTTATCAGTTGTCATCAAACCATCTACACTCACACCTTTTCGTCTTCAAGAATACTACACGTAAGCTTTTTAAAAATGTAAATGCACTTTTTCTACTGCATGATTCGTCAGTCTCTGCTGATCATTCATTAGATCTCATGAAGTAGTATTATTTTTTCTTATTTTCTGAAGTATTTTGAAATAAATCTTATGAATAGGAACCTCCTTTTTATCTCCAACTTGAGTGCTTATCTCTTTCTCCTCACTTCTGTTGATGTGTAAATCTTGACACGTTCAAATCTCAATTTCCAACCATCATTTAATCAGGTAATGTGTGTCAACTGGGGTACAAAATACTTCAAATCACGGTCAAATATTTTTTCAGTAGGTGGTTTGAGGAATTGAGGGTGGAAATGCGAGAATAGGGATGATATTCAGGTTGAGAACTTGATAATGGAACATCCTCAGAGTTGCATGTACCTCAAGTGGCTCAATCCTTTTGTGATAAAACCATTTATCTATACTATAAGCTCTCAAGCCTCCTAATTTTGCGAAACTGGTAACGCTTAGTTCCAGCGTTCTACCGGGCCGATTTTTATGATTTTTGCGGCTATCGACGGGCAATTGTCTCTAGATAAGCCAACTCTTTTCAGATTTTCAAAATATGGCCTAGGTTTTTTTATATTAAGTGGTAAAGTTGCGAATTCTCCCATTTAAACAATGTAAATTTATATTTTTTGTTATAGTTCGTTTGAGCGTTCTACCGGGCCGATTTCTTAGTTTTTTGCGGTAATCGACGGGTAATTGGCCCTAGATGAGCCCGCTCTATTCAGATTTTGTAAATAGGACCCAGGTTTTTTTACAATCACGTTATAAAAGTGAGTGAATTTTCAGAATGCTCCGAGACTGCTACCGCTATGCGCGGGAGGATGCGCAGTGGTCGAGGAGGTTGCGCAGTAGCTGTGTAGCCTGCGCATCAGCTCTACACTTATCTACACAAGATTCGCTCCGCCCGCCTCAGGTAGAGCGGTGGCCGAGTCGTCAAAGACGTCGGAAGCGTCCACTTAAAATATGGTGTGGGTTCGATCCCCGTCTCCCGAAACTCTTAATTATTACCTGATTATCAATGTTCGTTGTTTTACTGCAATATTTCATCAAGTAGTCATTCCAAAACGCGTCCTTTAGACTTCAAAAAAATAATTTTGTTTCTTTATTCATCAAAACCAAAAATTATTTCATTCTAAAAGTAAAGTATACCTTATATCGTAATTTTTTAGGGGAAAAAATAAAACTAACACCGATAAGAGGGTAAAAATAGGGCCGCGAAGCGGCCCATTGACGGCGCGGAGCGCCTTCAGGGGGTTGGGCCGCGTAGCGGCCAGGGGGCGTAGCCCCCTAGTATACTATAAGCTCCGAGACCTCCTAATTTTGCGTAACTGGTAATGCTTAGTTCCAGCGTTCTACCGGGCCGATTTTCATGATTTTTGCGGCTATCTACGAGCAATTGTCTCTAGATTAGCCTGTTCTATTCAGTTTTTCAAAATATGACCCAGGCTTTTTTATATTACGTGGTAAAGTTGCAAATTCTCCCATTTTAAACAATGTAAATTTATACTTTTTGTCATAGTTCGTTCGAGTGTTCTACTGGGCCAATTTCCATGATTTTTGCGTAAATTGATAGGTGATAGACCCTAGATGAGCTCGCTTTAATCAGATTTTGGAAATAAGACCCTGGTTTTTTTAAAATCACGTTATAAAAGTGAGTGAATTTACAGAATGCTTTGGGACTGCTACCACTATGCACAGTGGTCGAGGAGGTTGCGCAGTGGCTGAGTAGCTTGCACATCAGCTCTGCTTAGGTTCGCGCCGGTTACATTTAGATTAACGGTGGCTGAGTCGTCTAAGAAGTCGGAAATGTCCACATGGATCAAGGTGTGGGTTTGATCCCCGACTCCTAAGTAACTTAGTTATTACCTGATAAACGATGTTTGTTGTTTTACTGCAATAATTCATCAAGCAGTCATTCCAAAACGCGTCCTTTTGACTTCAAAAAAATTTTTTTTCTTTATTCATCAAAACCAAAAATTATTTCATTCTAAAAGTAAAGTATATTACCTCATTTTATAATTTTTTAGGGGAAAAATAAAACTAACACTGACAAGAGGGTAAAAATAGGGCTGCAAAGCGGTCCATTGATGGTGCGGAGCGCCTTCAGGGGGTTGGGCCGCATAGCGGCCAGAGGGCGTAACCCCCTAGTAACTCTATAAAATTTAGCAATAAAATCAATCAGGCCATACGTACAAGTATTAGTATGTCTAGCCTTCACTAAGAAACTATAACTGAAAGAGTTCATTTAAAGTTACTAAAGTGATAATCCCTGTGATTAAATAAAAATTTGTATTTCAGCTTTCGAAAATTTTGTTGACATTTGGACTGAGTTTATCAGAAAGAAACCACCCCACATTTTCGAAAAAATTGAGTTAAGAATGTTTTTTTAGTTTAAGTAGCCGTACATTTTCTCCTGCCAAAAACTGAAAGCCGATAATCAGAAATTAAGTTGCGAAAAGAGGGATTTAAGATTATTTTTACATTGAGCCTTACGCAGGATTAAAACTTCAAACCTCTTTTTCTCAGTATCAATTTAATGTGAGTCGGTTCTTTTCTGATAATTTCTCAATTTGATCCCACTAATGCTAAATATTGACTCAAGAGACAAAAGTGTTGTGTAATTTACTTCCTGTCATAATAATTTTTCAAATGTGTTTCAGAATACTTGAATTCCTCTACCAGTGATGGCTTTTCGTGGGAAAGTAGTGCTTGTAACTGGTGCCAGCTCTGGAATTGGTGCTGCCACTGCGAAGTTGTTTGCTAAGCTTGGAGCATCTCTTGCTCTCACCGGTCGAAATCTCTCAAACCTTGAAAAGGTGGCCGCAGAATGTAAAAAAGTCGGTGAAGAGGTCCCATTTTTGTTCAAGGCAGACTTGAACAATGAAACAGAAACCAAAAACTTACTTGAATCTGTTTTGACTCACTTCAAACACTTGGATGTTCTTGTCAACAATGCTGGAATTTTAGAAGGTGGCACTATAGAAAATACCTCTTTAGAGCAGTACGATAGAATTTTCAATACCAATGTGCGATCTGTTTATCACCTAACCATGTTAGCTGTACCACACCTGATCACCTCAAAAGGGTCCATAGTGAATGTTTCAAGTGTAAATGGTCTACGATCCTACGCAGGTGTTCTAGCTTACAACATGTCTAAATCAGCCCTTGATCAATTTACGCGCTGTGTGGCCCTAGAACTGGCTCCCAAAGGTGTGCGGGTAAATTCAGTAAATCCTGGTGTTATCATAACTGAGATTCATAAGAGAGGTGGCATGGATGATGCTGCATATGCAAAGTTCCTTGAAAGATCAAAGGAGACTCATCCGTTAGGACGTCCTGGCTCATCAGAGGAGGTTGCCAAAGCTATTATTTTCCTGGCAAGTGAAGATGCTAGTTTTTCAACTGGAGTTAATTTGCCTGTCGATGGCGGTCGACATGCTTTTGGCTTTCGATAAAAGCTGAGCTTACCAGCAAGGATTGAGGGAGCATTTATACTTTTGTGTACTTAAGACTGTTTGAACGTTGACATTCAACTTAAAATAAACTGCTCTATTTTTTATTATCATCAGCTATCCTCGTGCTAGCAGTAAAAATCGTTTTAAAGAAGAATAGGAATTTTTGTTTCATGGTGAGAAGCCAGCATTTAGTTCCTGTTAACCACGTAAAAAAAAGAAAAGGATAGATAGTAAATGGATATCAGCACAAGACCTGGTACATTCTTTGTACTTAATGCCAAAATGCATTATCCTTGTGCGCAACAGAATCTTTTATAAAAAAGTCATTGCATAGAATTTATGCTGTGCCATAGGAGAATCTGCCGGAAGTGCTGGGTTAAAAAACTTGCAACATACAACAACAACCATAATACTCGACAATACTCTTCTCGCTCATAATTATGTTTTGTGAAGCAGCGAATTTTTTGAATTCTTGAGTAAAACTGTTTCTAGGTACATGCAGACGCAGAGTAAGGATATCAACTCAACTGGAGTAAGTCTGTTGTAAAACATACTTCATTTTACACTTTTAGTTGCAAGTCTTCTCAGATAATTTGCTCAAAGTGAAAGAAACCAAAAAAGTAAAAAATGATTGAGGGAATCATAGTTCTTTCCTTAAGAGGAGCCACACAGAATGAACTGATGAGACATATTTATATATTCCAAATGCTTATTATTTTTACAAGTTATTTTTGTTAGACTTCGTGCCATTGTTTTAATGTGTTATTTTTTTTTTTTTTTCCGGTACAGCCTAATTTAAATAAAAAACTTATTTTTACAAAAATGAAGTACTTTATTTTTCTGTTCTCCAGACTGTTAGTTTTGATTTCTAAAACTTCTTAAAAGTCAAGGTAACGCATCACATGTCCTTCAAAATCAGCGGTTTTTTTACACGTAATAAAATTACAAATTGTTCAATGTGAATTCAAAAATTATTTGTTCATCAAATTAATTTGACATGGAAAAGCATGAGAATCCCCAGCTTCAGTAGAAAACAGGATTTTTTTGTAAAATAAAGAAACTCACGCAGAATCAGTGTTAAAAACCAGGAATATCCTATACCTCTCTGCTCCTCATTTTGTGAATGCTCGAGGAGAATATAGTTTTATCCCAAAGAATCAAACAGAAAGTTATGGGATATCCAAAGTTTTCTGCAGTAATTTTTTCCTGAAATAAGGAAAATTTCGGTGAATGATTAAATAAAATAGTTCTGGAGGCCTTGATCAAACTTTTCATAAATAAATCCAAATCAATTTAACAAAATTCAACATTTTCTGTATTTCTTGCATGTACATACATGTTGCATACACGTTGCATGTTCCAGCATTAACGAATACATAAGATGATGCATTAAATACAAAGATGCATGAAATAAATAAATTAATACATAAAGTTTTAGAAACTTCAGAAAAGAGAATAAATAAAATTTTGAAAACAACTACATGAAATACCTAAAAAATTCAGCTGAGCTAACGACTAAGTATCACAGATATAAAAAATAATGATGGTTAAAAAGGTTCATAATACAAACTATTTAACATGATAAAAAAAGAACATTCCGAAATTTAAACCATAGAAAATCAACAGTTTCCAAGATTAGCAGCCTGTTTCTTAGGGCTTCGTAGAGTTCCGAAATTTCAAAGCAACTTCCGAAATAAATATAAGTAAAGCTGACATTGGTGAATATAATTCAGTTTGGAGGAAGTGTTGGCCAAAATTGTGTCTATTATAATGAGAGAAACTTTATGAAGTATACTTATTGATGGGTAAAGTAAAAAAAAATATGGTTTCTTCTTTTTATAGAAAAGTTAACTGACAGTTTCTGTGATAATATCCTGAAAAATTTGCTTCGCTCATTTAAAAAAAGTCAAAGAAAATCTCAAGGAAATATTTTAAGAAGTTTTCCTTAAATAAAATAAATCATAATGAGAGATTTTCAAACGTTGCAATTGAGATATGCATATTTTACATTTAGCCATTGATATATTCTTATAAAGTATATGAAAATTTTTATGGCTTACTCATCAACCGAAGAGGAGAAATAGTATGCTATCTATTTATTTATCATTTTGCTTCATCAGTGATCGGGTAAAAGAGCCGAAGCTTGAAGCATGTATGTATATTGATAGCCAAAATGTGAAACCACACATCTCCATTGCAATGTTTCAAAATTTTCGATCCCATTTTACTAATTCAGGGAAAAATGAGTCGACTTAATGGCTTGGATTGTATACAAAATATTTTACAAACAGAGGAAGTTTCGAGGTGTTTTTCACGGAATTACATTGACTAGTTTTCCAAAAAAATAATAAAGTATGACAGGAAGTTTGCAACGTTGCAATCAGAGATACACACTTTGGCCATCAATGTAAAACTCACAGCAAAATCATTGGCTCCCCGGAGACGCTATAAATTTGGAAAACTAGAGTAAGCTGTAACCACAATATTTTGTGATATAATTTCAGAGCACCGTATTTTTGGTTGTTTGGCATAAGGCTTTTTAGATAGAATTAGTTAAAAATTCAAACCCCTGTTACGATCTAAATCTCTGTAGATGATTTCACTTGGGCCTTTTGTAGAAATCCATATTTGTTCCATAAATACTTAAAAGAATAAAACATTAAAGCCTCCTCAAGCCATAGGAACTGCACTTTGTCAATAAATAATAATAGTTAAAATGGGCATACACTTTACCTAGTTGTATAAGTTTCTGAATATGCAGGAAATGTAAATATTCCGGTTGATTCTAAACGGCAATGTTCAGAGCTAGAAATCGAGGCACTTAAAAAAAGCACAATATAAGCGCAAAAATGGAGAGGAAAAATAATAAAAACTGATATGACTAAACATACTTGCACCGGGGAGGAAGCTACGCATTAGAAAAATAAATTTACAGTGTATTTCCTCATTTCATACGTTGGGGAAATAAAATTACTTGGCTTGTAACTTTTTGAATGCAGTACTATTTGCATCACGTTCTAAGCCGTACAAATGATCATTCTAATTTTAAGACCTTAATTAAGTTTTACGTTGCGACATAGAGGTCCTTACAACTCCCCTCCCATCAGATGTTTTCCTTATCATTTTCATCACTAGAAATGATTCAGGACTTCCAATGGATTGGAAACAGTCTTACGTTGCGTATCTTTCAAAGTAACATGAAGAAAGAATAGCTGGCGTGCGGACCACTTTTGAACAATACCCTTGACGATAGGTATAATCATTTCTGAAGGCAAGGGTACACACTCAGGATAAAAAATGAAAGCTAAGAATTCTCCCTGAAAACAAACTTCTTTGAATCAAACTTAGCGTACTAAGAGTTGGATAAATTATTATTGCGCAGATTAGCCAAAGGTTTAATAATACCAATCGTTTCTGAAATGACATTCTTCTTTTAAACTAGATAAAGGTTCAGATACGTTCAAGGAGACACATACCAGCAAAAACTAAGCCATCATTGTGAAATTCAGCTCAGGGCAACATTCTGAAGAATCCATCAGAAATACTTCGATCATTGAGCATAGTAGAAGTAATAATATCACTTATGTACACACTGTTTCAAAAGCATCTTCAGAGAGCAGCACCAGTCTTAACCACTTTCTTCTCTTTTCAACAGCTGATCAATCTGCAAAATGGAAAAAAATAATTAGGAAAAAATTGTAAGAATTCGTGAGCTGTAAAAATGTTGCAAAAAAACAGCAAGTGGTTCCAAAAAATGATAATCATTTGTAGCAGTGAGCACCTGCAATACTGACAAATTTTTTTTCAAGAAAAGCGAATAAATCTACTGACTAAAAACTGCAAATTTCCGCTACACAGCAAAAAATGGAGCTGAAAGTTTGAAATTTTCAAACTATAATTTAAAATCGAACTGAGCCCAACCCAGGGATTTGATTCGAATCTTTATAAGTACAAATCGTACCGAGGCCCTGAGGAAAATTTGTAAGTTCAGTCATTACTAATAGAGAATTCTGCAATTTACGTTAGGTTCACTGATTGAATTCTAAAAATGATTGGAATCAAAGAGAAAAGAGCGTGTTGATAATTTTTACCTGGGCTTTGTACATCTCCTTAACATCCTGTAGATCCATTCGTAATTCTTGATTCTGTTCCAAATTCTCACCGTACAGTTGTAAGAGAGCGTCATACTGCGTTTGTAAATCTGACAAGGAGGCTAGGAGCTGTTCCTGTTCTTCTGATTTGGCTGTTAGAATAGACAACTGGCTACTAAGTGACTCTCGCTCTGCATCGCGATTTTTTAGTTCCCATTGCAACTGCTGTATTTCACCTGCAAAATTTATGACCAAAGAGTTACGATGTGATCGTACAAACATTGCTCTGATAGACATGCTAGGAGAAAGTAAAATTTGGAAACAAAGACCTGTCAGGAGGAGTAAATGGACGTATTTCTATCAAACGGAACTATGTGCATCATGACGTGAGCCCTGTTATGCATATATGCCTATGGGTCTCAGGGCTCATATCTTAATGCACATAGTTCCGTTTGGCAGAATTGCGTCCAAATGATCCTTGATATTGGATTTTGAAAATTTTAATGTGTCCAAAATGAACTTGACAAGTAATTTCAATGTTGGTTACATAAATCGCAGAATAGGTTTTGATGGTTGAATGTCATTTCTTTGCATGAACTAAAAAATAATAATACCAATGGCTAAAGTGCAAAACCACGTATCTCCATCGCGGTGCTTCAAAATCTCTGTTCTTAGTTTATTTTTTTTTAAGAGAAACAAATCAACTCTACAGCTTAAAATTTATGCAGAATATTCTGATAACAGAGGAGAGAAATCAAGGTTCTTTCCAAGAAATCACATTGGCTAGTTTCCTGAGGAAAAATAAAGTAAAGTCTGCACCGTCGCAAACAGAGATACATGGTCTTGCACTCTGGTCATCAATATGATATTTTGAAAGAAATGTTTGTGCTTTAAATTTAAAAGTCGAAAGATATGGTGGGTGATGTCATCTAGTGTGCTCTGCTAAAAGCAATACTTTCAGTCCAAATGCAGATTAAAACTTGGCTGTAAAACTAGATAAGTACAAAAATTCAAGGTATTACCATCTCTCAATTTCAGTTGCGATTGTAAATTTTCAAAGACTGTTGAAGAAGTACCCAATCTGACTGTGTCGTATACATTTGAGAATCTTCCTGGGGTTATGCTTCGCTCGTCGTCCCCAAACTATGAGAAGAAAAAAGAGGAATTTAGACCAAAAAAACCAGTCAAATAATCTTAAATTAGAAGCAACGCAACATTTTGATTCTTGCTTGAGGGTCAATAATAAGTTTCAAACAAAAAACATGACTTCACTTATACAGACTAACTTTGTTGGCACAACTAATGGACTAGCTTCTATGAAAGAAAGGTCTTCCTGAATTAGCGATTCTGACAAAGAAGGTAATAAAACTATTGAAGCCATAATTTTCAGCTCTTTCACTCACATATTTCGCCAATGCACTTTTACTTGTTTCAATGGATGAATTTGATATGAGTTTGAAATTTAATTTTTGGTTGCATATCACCTCATACTAGCTAATATACAAACATTCCTATTTTGATACATTTTTTATTAAAATTTTTGACTTTTACCTCACACATACCAACTTTAATAAAAAGCATGGCTTAAGTCGTCGCAATATCAAATTCATGTCTACATAACTGATGCATCCATGAAGGGACCAAAAAAAAAAAAAAAAGAGACAGCACTTACCGAAGGCCATTGAGTGCCTGAAACAGATTCACTACAGGACGCTCGTCCGACACTAAAAGCTGGAGAGGATCGGGGTGATTGAGGAAGTGGGGGAGAGATTTCTCTCAAGGATCGCAACTGGTCCTGAAAAAAAATATGTTATACTCGATTTAACGCATGAGACAGACAAAATCAAACTTAAAACAATGTTCTGCAGTCCTCTTAAAAATGCAGTTTTATTATCAAACAGTGGTATCTGAAATTGCTTACAAGTTACAGGTTTAGTTATAAGCTACAACTCAAGTCAAATTACAGTTTCTTGAGGAGTATTAATAATTTCTCCATTTCCGAGAAAAATTGAAGTGGGCAGGTAAGTCCTTTTAGTGAAGCAGGATGAAAGTATGTTATGCGCTGGAAAGTGTGATATCATTGCCTTGCGGCCAACTTATTGAGAGCCTCATTTGAGTTTAAGCACTATGTGGCTAACCTACTGAGATTAGTCCAATTTTTACGGAAAAGTTGATGAACAGAATCACTTGAAAATTTACCTAAGATTTCTTTCATTGGCAAGATTAATCCCTAAAATTTTTATAAAAGTACGAGACAGTTTCAGGGAAAATTTGAAACAATATAGACATATATGGCAACACAGCGCCTAAGCGTAAATGGTGCTTATGATACTTGCTGAAAGATGATGCTATTACATCATATTTAGAAATTTGGACAATTTGAGGAATATCCTGATACTCAAATACTTACTCTTGAAACCAAAATTGCATCAGACTAAGCGGAATCCAATTTATTTATTTATTAAATGTGACAAATTTTATTTTGAGCAACAATACACTTCTTTTTAAGGTATAAAAAATAAGTTCTTGCACAACTGTCAATGATGACGGGAAATTGGAAGTTTTTTATTGATTAGTTCTTCTTTGTGAGGGCTTAGCTTGATGGCTGCTGGGTGTTAATGTTCTCTTTCCTCTTTTTTGTCTAGTTTTGTCAAGTACCTGTAGGATTGCTGTTTTCCTCTTTTCTGACTCTACAGCTGTTCGTTCTGTGCTGAGCTGCTGTTCTAAGGATGCGATTTCTCTTTTCGCGTAGTTTAATTCTTCCATCACAGTTCTTAAAGATGTTTCTTTTTCCTTCAATAATCTGCAAAAGTAAATAATAAATTTAGAATTCCAAGCATTGAAAATATCAAATCAAGAATAAAACCCTTCATTTTGGTTTGTAAGGAGACTGCTACAATCTTTAGTTAGGACCAAAATGAAGACATTCTTTCTTCACGAAAACTTAACTAGGGCCTTGTCTCCACGGGACGTTTTCATAGGATTTGTCCCAAGTTCGAATCACAGGAAGGAAACTTCTGGGATTTTTCCCAGTTACCGTCTCCACAGGACGGGGCTCATACGGTCCTGCGACTAGTTTGCGCGGGAAGATAAATTAGTGAAAGTCGATGATTTAACCGGGATTAAAATGATAATTGCACTCAATTGACAATTAGACACATTATTTTAACTAAAAAAACATTAACAATGGAGTAATGAATAAAATATCGCACAATTCGTTTTCACTTCTTCTTCCTCTCCCCATGAGTCCTAGGGGTAAAGGACCATACTTGGTACCGGGAAAAATAGTGATAAACTCAATATTTTTCCCAACTTCGTAAGTGGGATTTTTCCCTAGGACAAATCCCGTGAAACGGCCCGTGGAGACAAGGCCTAAGAAAAAACATTTAAAAAATAAATAATTTATTTATTCACATAGCTCTTTCATGCGATTATTTATGAGCTAGGGTGACTTGAGAATCTCCAGAGACTTTCCCATGTGATATTATATTTCTCCACTCCTGTTTTTCTAGAATTTTTTTTTTTTTTTAAACTACATATCAGTCCATATTTGAACAAAAAACATGGGGCAAAGCTTACTTCTTATTTTCAGTCTTCAATTCTTCCACAGCTTCTTTCAATGCTGCTATTTCATTTTTCCGTTGTTCTTCTTGTTGCTCCGCAAGAGCGAGCTTGGATTCTAATCGAGATAGCTGGCTGCTCATGGTCGCACACTGTTCTCGTGCAGATCGCTCACTATCCATAATACTGGAGAGTCTGTTTTGAGCTTCAGCTGAAAAAAGGTAGAAAGTTTCAGTGAGAATAAGGCGGAGAAAATTTAGGCCGAATTATTTTAGGCGAAAAAAATTGAGAGAGCAAAAAGTTTTCTTGATCAAATGACCATTAATAATTTTTGATGGATTTACTTGTGACTGATGAAATTCAATAACTTCACTCCTGTATCATGCATCAGCCCATGTAAAATTCCAACTTTTTTAACGATTAGTAACATTTTAATGTGGCTCTTGGGCAGCAGTCTGATAAATTAAAGCCTGTATATCAAATTATAATATCCTTGTGCATGAGAGAATTTAAAAACTTATGCCTATCAGGATCTAAGAAAGTAGTTACCTAATTTTTGACTCAGAATTTGCTCCTGTTTTTCCCAATTGGCAGCAGCGTTGGCATGACTTGTGGTCAGATTCTCTAATTGTTTAGTCAATGGTCTGGTGGCACTTGATACTGCTTCAGCAAGCTCTTCATTCCGATTTTCAGCCATTTGAAATTGTTTCATTAATTCAGCATTTTCTTGGCGAAGTGCTGCCTCTCGCCTGGAAATGAAAATAAAAAAAAAAAAAAAATAAGTGAAAGCACTTGGAATGTAAATTTTAAGAGTCCAAACCCGAGGAACTGTTAAAATTCGAATTAACAGTAAAATAAAATTAAAGAAGAAAAAAAAGCCTCCATAGAAATACTTACTTAGAATACTGCTCTTCTGCTTGAGACATGGCATAACGGAGATCACTAATACAATTTTCTAACTCAGTCCTACGCTCAGATTCAGCTCGCAATTCTGCTTCTAGTCGTCTTCGTCCTTCCTTTTCTGCAGTTGCAGCGGCAGCTTCAGCTTTCTTTTCTAAAGTGGCAACAGCTGCACGTCTTTCTCGTAATTCTCTGAGAATAAAAGCCAGCGGATAGAATTCAAAGTTGAAAAAAATTCAGAGCGCCAAAAATTTGTTTATGAAAAATATAGAAAAAGAGTGTGCAAAACTAGCAAGTTTAAAAAATTGACAAGACCTTTCCGGTAAATTTTTTGTTGGAAATGTGTCTCTTTAAATTATCTGTGAAAAAAATTAAAGCAAGAGTGCTAAATTTTTTTACCCTACAGTATTAATTTGGATAATTTTTTTCTTTATCACAATGATTCATAGTTTGTTTTTCTTTTTTTTTTTGTCATTTCTAAAATTTTACTCATTTCCCGTGTGATGAAGCCAGTGAGATTCAGATATGTTTTCAAGAATTTAGATTGGGTTTTTGATGACAGATATCTGTCGGAAAAAATAAGATGACTTAGAGGTGAAATCTTTCCTTCCTTAAAACTTGTATCTCCATTTTCACATAAAATAAATTACTGTATTGACAGAGAACAGAGCTCACTTTTGAGATGTGACTAGCGTTGAAGTTAGGTTGTCAACTTGCGACTTCAAACTTGAGACTTCCTTTTCCAGTTTTTGATTTGTTTTGGTCAGTTGATCTACAGCTTCAATCTGTTTCCTTTCGACATCCTCCTTGGCAGTTAGAGCTTTTTTTGTGCGCTCCAGCTCTTGGTTTGTTTCTTCCAACTGTTCCCTGTGATAAGAGGAACCAAAGTTAGATTTTTTACAAGGAAAAAATAAGATACTTGAGTGAGAAATCATTGATCAACATTCCCATTTAGTCTTTAGTCTGAGCCCAATTTAGTAAAGATTTGTTCTTTTGATACTTCAGACGTTTTACAACTAATTTTGATACTTCGTGAATCGTGATTCACACTTATCTTGAGAAAAAAATAGGAGGTGATATAAAATAAATGTAGCCATCGTCAGAGGAAGAGATACTACTATCAAAGATATGAAATTGCAAAGAATCGACCAATTAAAATCGATCTTACCTGAGTGATGATATTACTTTCTGATTGTCTTTATCAGCATTCTTCAGTTTCTTTATTGAATTGTTCAGTGCAAGTTGATGTTTACTAAGTTTTTCACCTTCTTCTCTCAATTCTGCGATAATCTGATCTTTGTCCTCCTCTAATTCCTGTGCCACTACTGCGGCCTTTGAATTCTGTAAAATATAGAGTGAAAACTCAAAATATGATTACTAAAGACCATTTGGAGAGGTGCATTACAAAACAGGCATATTGAAGAAACATTAATTACAATTCACTACTACATTTATGCTGCTTCAACTGAAAATTGTGAGTAAAGCCAACTAGAAGAAGTTGGCTGTCCATGAATTGATACATAAATTGAAATTTAAAATGCCAGAGAAAGGATAAATTTTAGTACTCCCAGTTGATAAGCAGTAGAACAACATTTTAATTTAGATTTACACAGTGAATCATGCATAAAACTATTTGCAAATCAATAAAAAAATAAAAGAAAGTCATACCTCCAACTGTTTTCTGAGGGTTTCTTTTTCCCGAATTGCTTGTTGAAACTTTCGCTCCAAAGCTGCTAGACGCTGTGTAAATTCTTCATTCATTTGCGACAAGTTCTGACTCTCTAACTGACTGAAAATGATAATCAATTATCAATTTAGGACACTTTCTTGTTCTTGAGTAGGGAAGAACAATTTGACCGAGAGGTGATTCTTTTTTTTTTAAGTTTTCAAAAATAATTCAACAGGACATATAAAAAAGACATCTTCAAACTGAAAGTCTTCTTTGCCTCTTGTTTCAAGCATAACACAGCCACGTTTGTGTTAGTACATAGATAGCTGAACTGACCAGATAATTAATAGCTAATTGATTCAATAATGGTTATTAAGTCTCGCACATTTCAGATGGAGATCTAAAAATATAAATTACACAGATACTTGCAGAGTAATCATAAGATCATTATCAACTCTGCTATGTTACATTACAGAAGCTTTCCTCAGACGTATTTCAAAGACCTTCTCTACCTCCATTTTCAATTGGTCCTGGCTGTACTTGTTGAATTAATATACGCTTAAGCTAGTATGTGCTCTCTCCTTAAAAAATTTGCTTAAAAAAGTTACTACATTCAGAACCAAACCGACTTTCTCCTTTGATACATTTCACAATAGTTTAATTTCCCCAAGCAGTTGTTTTGAAATTTTGTTTCATCACAAACATGACATTTGTAGCCAATATTTAGCATGTATCATGAATTAAAAATTTACCTTTTAAGTTCTGAATTATTTTCATTGAGCTCTGCATTCAGTCGACTTAAATCGATCAGTTTGGACTCACGAGCCTCCAGCACTTCATTCATTTCATTTATTTTCTAGAATGGGGGACAAAAAATCATACTGTAGAAACTGTGTTGCATTTTTTTTCATTCAAAATTTAAAAATCAGTTAAACATGGATAATTAATCGGATAATTCACCTTACAACAAGTGAAATGATGATACAAAGGGGGAAAAGAATAAGAGGAAAAAGGGTGTCTTGGTATTGCGGCTGAAGCGATTACTAAAGCACTGCATACGAAATTGAGCCCATTTGTAACTAACTAAAGATAACAACATTTTATTACATCACATCCGGGATTTCGTTGCTTACGATTTCAGTGATAAAATTCAGATTCGATCTTTTTCCCCCTTGATTCAGTGATAGATATGAGGTGATAAAAATACATGCACTGTGTTTGAATCAATTAATTAATTTATAATTTTAGGTTCAAAACTTCCCAAAGAAAAGATTCAAGAGTTCTTTGAACTCTCACATCAATTTTGCTGTTTGTTTTTTTACTATTAAAATCTAAGAAGAACAAAGTTATTTCATCGTAACTGAGATTTTGTTAAATCCAAGAATCCAAGAATCCAAGACTCAGAAAAGAAAAGAAAACAAGACTGACGATGAATAAAAAATAAGATCAAAATGAGTTATGCATAATAAAGATGGATACCTTTAATAGTTTGTCAACTTCGGAGGTGCTGTCATCAGAAGCTCCGCTGGATGCTTCTGAGGGAGCTCTCTGATGGCCTGAAAAAAACAAAGCAGACACTTAGAAAAATTTACATTCATTCACTACTTAAGTTTCATTGGCTTGTGTCACACTATCAAAGCTAGCCAACAGAATATCATGGTCAGGTGTTGTGATTGGCTTATTCGGTGACTTGGACCAATCACAGCACTTGACCTTGACATTTTGATGGAGTATTTTGATAGTGTGACACAGGCTATTTGAACATCCAAGCAAAGAAAATGGAATTGAGAAAATGTGTACTTATCTGTTTTAACATTTCCGCTAACTAAAAATTAAGAAGCGGCCCTCAAAAAAGGGCCGTTTACTTTGATCAAAAAAATTTCACTTTTTATTCAAAATTATGAAAACATCATGATAAGATCTGAATTTATCTGTCTTCTACTTGCTAAGCCCCAACAAGGCAGGATGGAAACAGAAACAGATTTAACAGGCTGGCATCAATGGTATTCCTCCCTTTAAACCTGTGTTAAATAATCAATTATTTTCGGAGCACCTGCTGGCCCTTCTGAAAATTGATTCACTTCCGCAAGTCCAAGTAAACCGAAAGGTAACAATGTTGCCAACTTGCTGGATCCGCCAATAAATGGAGGTAAAAAATGCAAAAAATTTTCTAATCTCTGAAATTGCTAAATTTGCTAACATTCATGCACTGAAAAATTCATCTCTCTGAACCAAGATCTTTTCTTCTGTCATCAGCCATGCCGCAGCTCCTCTTGCATAGGAGCATGACCCAATTTTCACGTCAGTCCTGCAAAACTTAGAGTTTTCTGAAATAATGGTTTGCTCCTAAATAGAGCGACACTCTTACCTTAGGGAAGACAAAAAATGCAAAATTATTTTTCATAACTATTATGATGTTTTGTGGATGATATTGACATTAGTACATACCTTTCATTTTGTAAGCTTCTGGCACAATAATTTCTGGACCAACAACAAGCGCCATTTTTCCTTTGCTTTGTCTGCAAAGTAATTTGGCAGGGCTTTGGCGGGAAGTTGTACTGCTACTGTCACCATTTGTTGGACTGAAACAATAGGAATTGGTGATTCTGAGTGAAGTAAGGTTTAAATTCTTAGGATAGAGATTTTCAAATATCGAGAGCAGAGAGTTTGCTTGTCACCGAAATGAGAATAAAATTGGCACTATCTTTTAAATGATTCAATACTCTTTCACCTTCTCCCTGTCCAAAATTTGATACATAAATTTGGATCCATCACACAATTTTTATTCAGAGAGGACATATCAAGAGAAGTCGAAGGGCAAAATATTTTGATTTGGAAAACTACTTCTAGCTGCTTTGAATGTAAAAAAGGTTTATAAATTGGCTTCTCCCGGATGCATGCTCTTTTTTTCTAGTGCACTGAGATATGATTTACACTAACAAAAGCACTACACTAAAAAACTGAGATTTTAAAAAGGTTCAGGTTTAAAAGTTCTCTGAAACTTTGCATTATGTTTAGATGGAGCTTTTTTCTTAAAAATGCCCAAGTTTTTAGTTACAAGTATTTTTCTTGGGAAAACAAGGAACAAATATTTTACGAGAACTGCTGATTTTCCATGGTGATATCTTTCATTATTTTTACGTAGTTTGGGGACAAAACTGCATGCAGGTATTATAGAAGAGGCAATTGCCATTAGTATTTTTTGTTACAAACATCATCTAGAATTCTTCAATTACAGAAAAGTTACAAATGACGAAAAAAAGGTGTTATACAGTATCATAAACTCTTGTACTTCCTTGCTGTGGGAAGAAATATTTAGAAATTAAGTACTGCAGTTTTGTAATCTTGATAAGGTTAAGAGAGGAGACACAATACATAAATATTGACTGTGGCTAGTCTAGTAAAAAATTTTGTTCCTAACCTGGATATAATTTCTATGTCTGATGAGGTTGTCGTTTCCAATTCATCACCAGAGGTATGACCACTTGATCCAATTTTCAGGAGTTCTGAGCGACTGCAAAAGTTTAAAGGCAGATGACAACTTAAATAGTAGATATTTTCAAATACATACAAAGTAATCACAATTCTTTTTTCTTTTAAAGGTTTTCTCAAAATTTTAAAAGGATAAAATAATTACATATTTTGCCTTTAGTTGGGCCAAAGTTAATGGATGAAATTTTTGTTTCAAAATATAGCATCAGCTATGAAATTTCCACCACTAATTAATGAATAACAGCACTTCAATTTTTCGTAATGTATGCATTGTATATTTTTAATAGAACAACAGTATTTAAAGGAACTGCTTGTCAAGATTTAATGTAATATATTTTAAAAAAATTAGCATACCTTTCAGGAGAGTTATCACCGGCTATTAACATACTAGTTGCTTGCTGACTTTCTGTCATTGCTTCAGCTAGCATATTTTTCAGCGAACTTGTTGATGTTTGATGGGACAAGGACATGGTTTTGGTGCTACCAACTGGAGTTTCATCTGAGCTGCTTCCCATCAATGTTCCCTCTTCGCAACTACTTGAATCTAACGTATTCAGAGAAGTTCTTGAAGTGTTGGTTATGTTGGACGGACTATCACAAAAGGACACATTGGATAAAACAGAGATGTTCCCGCTCGACTGCATGGAAGATTCAAGCGTTTCAATAATAACAGGCTCTCCTCCTCCACTAACGTTATCATTTAATACCAAATTTGGTGCGTCAATGATTATTGGTGAGGATATTTTTTCATTCTCAACTGCTATGTGAGCTGACGAGACTGTTGACGATCGGCTATTACTTCCAGGCTGAAAAAATAAAATATCAAACGATAAACTTTGTGACCCTGACCAGGTTTTGATGGATTATTCTTGGTATTTTATGAAACTGTAGAGTGCTCCAGAAAGAATAAGGGTAGCAAAAAATCGTTAGAATTAATGAAGCATTAATTTTGATTTTCATTGAGACAGTTAAATTGACAGGAGATGAATATGACTTACATCACGTGGCAAGACAGCTTCACTAAATGACATTTCGACTGAGGATGTAGATTTCAACATGAGATCTTTTACATGGGTACTATCACTCAAACTAGGATGAACATTTTCGAAAGCTGTGGTTAGAGTATGCGTGCTTTCTGAAGCTGAGTTGTAACTATCATCCGCTCCGATACTCATGTCTTCTTCATCATTGATGCAATCATTGGAGGACTTCCCGCTAGTTTCTACTGTCTCCAAGAATGGCTGATCTACGGGTGAAATTGAGTCACTTGCACTGTTAAGAAAAAAAAAATAATTATATACATGGCTTAATCCTTAAAGATGTACTTCTAAATGGATATGAGACAAAATAATCTAATTGTAGGACTCTTTAGAGGATGTGATGGGCATTATTTGTTCGGCCACTCATCAAAAATGCAATGGGTTTTTTGGTCGATGTAAATCTAGTATTCAGGTAGGTTTTATTATTTAATCATCTTTTTCGATAAAATATTTTACAGTGCCGATGGTGGTTTCTAAAAGAAAGTCTTCATTTGTATAGGTACGAGGCATTTCAGGTGAACCTTAGGTAAAATATCCTGGTAACTTTCTTTATAACCCCAGAGACACATGGAGTAGGAACCTAATGGATCCGTTGAGTTTCTCTTGATTCCCTATTTTGAAGATATTTTAAGGTAAAATCAATTCAAAGGGCAAGAACTTACCTGAAACTATGAAGCTTGTGTGAATCAGGAGACATTACAGAATTACTAGAGGGACTGTCACCAAAACTGGGTAAAACCTCAATAGAACTAGGCGAAGTTATCACTTCAACAGACTCAACAGAGCCACTCTGTTTCAAATAGCCCGCAGAGGAGGATGTGGAAATGGAGGGAGTCTGGTCTGAATCTGGAGTTGCAGAGCCAAGGATTTCCACACTTTCTGTTGATCTGCAGTCACTTCCTGACGAGGCTACCGACAATCGATTGATGTTTGAAGGTTTGTGTTCCCGCCTCTTGGAAGACTCAATTTGCTGAGTTCTGTCACCTGACCTGTCTGATGATTGGTTTTCAGCAGAACTGGCAAAATTTTTATGTCGCGAGGACTCCCTTCCATCTTTATCAAGCTCATCATCGTTTCCAGTTAAACACGGCTCTCGTAAAGACAGAGGACGATTGGTGTTGATTTTTCTTGGCTGTTCAGATATGAATTCAGATGATTGACTAGAGGGAATTTTTGGCTGATTTTCATCTGCAAAAAAGTGAGGAAAGTACCTATGTAATGTCTCTATAAAAATTTGGAAAAATACCCTTTGTTAAGAAAGACGGATTGACTTTTAACCAAAATCGCCTGACAATCTATTAAAAAAGATCAATTTTGTTTCTCCATGATGTTAGAGAGCTCCATGATTGTGGAGGCTTTAACAATTTTTTGTGTAAACACACATCTGATTCTCTCCCAAAGAAAAGGCTGTTAAAATACTGCAGCCTTGAGTTGTTTTACTAAAAACTATCGATCATGAGATTAGTTTTTATACATAGATGCTCTGAAAGCTGTTGCTTTTGACCTCAAGATTTACAAATTTCTAAAGTAGCAATTTATTTTAGAAAGTCTTTGACACAATGAAAAAGAGATAATTTTAAGATGACTTTTTAAAAAGATGAGGATTTTGTTACCTGATTCGGACGACTTCTGATCGAAGAATGAACCAGCAAATGATCCCCACAGGCTAGTGCTTGTAGAAAGACTTTTAGCAGGTTGAGATGTTGTGACAGATTCAATGTTTGGGGCAGACTTTGACTTTTTTCCTTCGAGCACATTCCAGCTTGAAAATATGTCATCTCCACTGGTTTCAATACTCGCTGATGGCATTTCCTCTGAAAATATTAAATAATAGACTTACAATGAAATGGCCACATAAGTAATATGTACTGTAATTTCTTTCCTTTCCCTCCTCTTTAGAGTACTGTAGTAAATAAAAACCTATGTACTCATTGACTTTGGGACAAAAAACTTTTTATCATAACTGTACAAGATAATGTGCCTGTTCCAAACTTTTGCTGGAACAAAAATAAGAGTTGTTCCTTCTTGATGATGTCTTAAAAATCACGATGAGCGCATCGGCAAACTCTAAAATGCACTCTTAACTTCACTATCTGCGTAAGAAATTGGCGTTTTTTTAAGCTTCCCACTCTAAAAAGGATACTACAGCACAGGTGAACATTTTGTTAGAGGAGTCGTTCCATTCAATCCCTGCTCAACATGGCCGACACTTTCGCATGCAAGTTGAGAAGAGCACGAGGTCAATCAAGGCGGATATCTATCTACTCGAGAAAAATTTGAATGTAAACACGCTGATTGTTATCAGGTGGTTAGAATCATCGTTCTGTCACATGTGTTTTGGCGGATTGGCGTCAGCTATGTTGAATATTGCGTGGTGCCTTTGTGAGCAAGGGTTAGAGGGAATGATTCCTCTAACGAAAGGTTCACCTGTGCTGTGGTATCGTTTTTGAAGCGGGAAGCTCGAAAAAACGCAAACATCTTATGCAAATTGGATTACATTTTGCAATAAGGAACCACTATTTCTGGCCCATTTTAGAAACAACATACATGCCAGTGGTTTCCCTATGCAGATATGTGCTTTTATGAAAGAGCCAGTGATAGTGGTTCCTTATTGCAAAGTGAAATCCAATTGTGAAGTAAGGAGTGCATTTCAGACTTTGCCGATGCGCTCGTGATTTTTGAGACTTTTCTGCGGGTAAAAACTCTTATTTTTGCTTCAGCAAAAGTTTGCGACAGGCCCATTGTAAAAAATCACTGCTGAGTAGTGCTGAGTATGCATCATCTGATATTTCAATGTATTTGTCTGTATGGTAACTGCAGCGCTGTTGAGAATTGACAGTTCACATTCGATTGTAAGAATGCCTGAGATGGTTATGGGTTACTCACCCCACTGCATACTCATATGCAGAATTTTAGATCACTGAGGTAACTGGGAATTATTTAAGCAACCACCGAAAAAAGAGGAGGGACATACTTATTCTTAAAAATCTTTACATTTTCAAGGTGCATCTGCATTTTAGACAATGAGAATCAAACAAGGAAGAGTTCTTGGTGTACTGAAATAAATTGTGGTGAAATTTAACTAAAAAAGAAAATGAGTTTGGTAGAATGTCGATTTACTTAGTTACCGACCTGAGGAATCCTTCGTGGCACTGCCAGTTTCTTCTTCTTCTTCGGTTATGTCAAGAGCTTTGTCAATTGTTTTTTGAGCTTCTTTGAGGGCTGTCTTTGCCAAGTTAGCAATACCAGCAGCATCAAACCAACTCATCTTTCCTTACCTGAAAAATTTAGAGATTGATATGAAAGTAAAAACAAATATTATCGGTGAAGTTTTCATCTAACACCTCATGGATTTATTCAGACATCCACCCGCTCCGCAGATCAATAACATCTTGATAACTATCTGATAACTTTTACATTTTTAAACAATCCTCATGATGCAAAAAAAAAACCTAATTTTTTTCTTAGGCAAGTACTCAAGATATACCCAGGGCAATGTGGTTATAGTAAGCCAATATTACATAAAACTTCATTGAAAATTGCCCTAGGCAACAGCAAAAATGAACAGGAAGTTTACAGGAGATATTTAATTAACTCAGATTAGCAGTAGAGTCTGGCAGAGAATAGAAATCATTCTATTGTAAACAGAGACTGCAGTGTTGGAAACAGGTCTGGAGGATAATTGAGGAAGGATAGGAACTCTGAGGATAATTCTGCTCAATCTGATTTCATGCTTAGACAATCGAATTTGTATTGATAAATCCGACTGTTGATTGTTCAACTTATCGAGGAAGGTGTTTATTTGTGGTGAATGGTAATGCAAAGCAAACATCTTAAGAATGAGTCAGACGCTCAACAAGACCATGCTAACTTAAAACGTTTGAAACTCTGATCAGGGATATGTATACTTTCTGACAAAAGCTCAAAATTCCCATAAAGTAGGTGGCTACATTCATACTAAATTTAATCAAGGTACACTCTACTACAGGTATGGACAAACGGGGTGCCGAAGTGGCAGCGCTGAGAAAATCGGCGATCGAGTGACGTATGAAGTCGTACCGTCCATTTGCCGCACATGCCATTCGCAGTCGTACTCTCGATGCTGTCAAATCTACGCGTTTTGACGACTTTCTAAAATTCCATTTGTCCATACCTGTAGTAGAGTGTACCTTGAAATTTAATATTGGTGAAATGCAGCCTTCTTCTTTGTAGAGATGATACAGAAGAACACTGTGAGGTTGGCGATAACCAATTCAGGTTGAGGAGTTCTTGATGGAAACTCACCCTCCATAGACACATCGGCGTATTTACCAGAAAATACGAATGATGGGACCAAATAGAACAAGTGAAAATGCGGCTGCAATGCTCCAGTCTAAAAATAGGAGCTGGGCTAAGCTTTCTTGAAGAAATCTTGAGGAAAGTATAAGTAAAACCCAAGTTGTTATGAAGACGTTGACAACAATGACGTGTAAACACTGAGAATAATCGTTTTTAACGCAACGTAATAATGACAATAGTTTGTTGGAATTTTCAGTAACTTAGACTGGCTTAAAATACATAAGAAAACCACGTAAAACTTCACATTTTTACTAAAAATTGCAGTGTCGGTCGCTAAGTGGTGAAATAAAACTGATAAGAGGAAAGCGAAATTCCACTATGGATATACTAAGAAAGAGTGCCACCCTAGCGAATTTTGCAAATGGCAAATCAACATGAAGTTGCATCTACCGCTCCCAGGAGCGCTGCTTACCATAAAAAAACAGTTCAATAAATGGCGCGAATTTTTGAATCCTGTTCCTCTTGCGCCGTAAATGCTACAAAAGCGGTGCGTCGCACTGTTGTTGCAAGCTAGAAAACTATCCCTCCCGTAAACTGCCGAAAATGATTTTCCGGCAAGTTACTATTGCGTTCGTTTTCAGAGTAACATTGTGACAACGTTTTCTCACCCACTTTTTTCTGAGCGGGGTCTGGGAAAAAGTGCGATTTACAAAAATTTTCGGCCAGCATTCGGAAGAATGTATGGCCAAAAATGTTTCCTTCAAAGAGGAGACAAGAGGGGAAACAGAAGTGTGGGCGTAGTTACCGATCGTAATTTTTGAATTATTTTCCCACTGAAAAGTAAGACATTCTATGTAAACTTTCACTTGAAAGAACGCGACTCGCTGCGACGCTATATGACTTCGCGCAATTAATTATTCTTTACTCTGCTCGGTTTTAATGATAATTATTAAAGGACATTTGGACTGAGTTAAGCAGAAAGGAACCAACCCACATTTTGGAGAAAATTGAGTTATGAGTGGTTTTGTACTCAACCGCTGCTCTACTATCTATCGCCAAAAATTCAAAGTTTTTGTTGGAGCAAATTTTGCAGAAATTGAACTTGAAGTGTATCCTTTACATTGAGTCTTATGCAGGAGCCAAACTTTAAACCTCTCTTTCTCGGTTCGATCCCGATGTGGCTTGGTTCCTTTCTGTTTAACTCCGTCCATTTATTACAACAATTCAGAAACTCGGAAGATGTTAAATTTTTCACTGATTTAAAAAAAAACGGATTAAAACGAGCTAAAATATTTATCAAAACCAAAAATTATTTCATTCTAAAAGTAAAGTATACCTCATATCGTAATTTTTGAGGGGAAAAATAAAACTAACACTGATAGGAGGTAAAAATAGGGCCGCGAAGCGGCCCATGGATGGCGCGGAGCGCCATTAGGGGGTTGGACCGCGTAGCGGTTAGGGGGCACAGCCCCCTGGTATTTGACTATTTGCCTAGGCATTTGACAAAATGCCTAATTTTACTAGGTGCTTGCGACTTATCGATTGCAGTGTTTGAAAATTTCTTTCCTCCGCCCCTCCCCTTGGCACTAAGTTTTACGAAAATCCGACGAGCAGGAACCGAGATAGCGTTTTAGGCCACGCTCGCCACCTTGGTTTTTCGAATTTTCGAAATTAGACTAAAAATTCGAATTTAATCGATGGAATGGGAGCCGATGTATCAATTTTGGCTACGTCCGCCGTCTTAAATTTTCAAATTCAGAAAATTCAACTTGAAACGCATTATATCCAAAATCTAAGCTCAGATTCGGCTTTCTCGTGAAAAATCGATGCTACATGTATCATATGTTACCATAGCATAAAGAAAAGAGGGTAATCGTAGGCGTAAAGATCCTATCAAAGCCGGCCGGTATGCGGAAGTAGGCACAGCATTCAAACGTTTGAGCTACGCCGCCAGGCGCCAGGCGCCAGGCGCCAAGCATTTGGTTCGTCCGTTTCCGAGAAAACAAACTTCTTCTTACTCATCAGCTGACCCACTCCGAATCACCCATGTTGCCACGTCGGACTGATATGTTAGGATCTACACGCCTACGTTAATCTCTTTCCTTCATGATATGGTGACATATGATACATGAAATTGCATCGATTTTTCACGAGAAAGCCGAATCTGAGCTTAGATTTTGGATATTATGCGTTTTAAGTCAAATTTTCTTTTATCTATTTTAAATCACTCAGGAAAATTTGCGGAAACTCATTAGAATAACAGTGTGTATTATTTTAAAAACATTGATCAAAAATAAAACATTGACGGTATTTGAATCCATTAATCTCCGAGATAACTTGAACACGGTTGTTCTACGACTTTTTACGTATGTTGTCTTCTTCCGCATTGGTTGTCGGCAGCGTAGCGGCCAAAGGCCCTTGGTACTAATAATAGTTTTCAAAATCAATTTTTTTCTATAGGTATTCAAGATTCTAAAGAAATGGCAGAAATTTATCAATTGTTACTAATGTTTTAACAATGTTTCTTGTCAATTGTATGCTGTCGTTAAGCTAAACATCCCAGGTTTACCAGTAGGCTAGGCATGCACTATATTTAACACCATGTCAAGGCTTCAGTACTTTAGAGGGGTAATTTTTTTATTTTCTATTCTACCTTAATCTCACTTGTTCAAGTAAGTAGCCTGGGCTTATTTGTCCAATGCTAGAAGCACGCTCTTCACGCAGGCTCATCTTTTTGCACGAAGGCGCTCTTCTGTCTCCTATCTGAGTGGCACTGTGAAGTGATGTCGACTAGAAATGTTCAGAATTTTGGAGTCTTCAATCGAGCCTAAATTTTGAAAAGTGCCTAAGAGCATTATTTTACGTTCTATGATTTTTTTTGTCTGTAAGTCTTATCTTTAAAAAGAGAGTCCAAACGCTCGGTTCAGATTGTGGTTTTTAAGTCTTTTTGCTTTGGTCATCGCATTCTCATGCAAAGAGAGAGTCGCCGTTTGCAAGATCGTAACTTACTGAAAAGCGGTTGTGAATTCAATAAGTTTCGCGCGGATAGAATGAGCTTTCGACGATTAACTGCAAATAATCAGAATTGAAGAAAAGGTACTTTGTCCACTGGTCCATTTTAAAGGCGTAGGATGAAATTTGGATGGGGCATGGATGTCCTCCGGGGTTTCTACGGGCACTAGATGGCTGTAGGTTTATAACGGTATGTATGCCGGTAGTGTTGAGGGAAAAATAGAAAACGAGAAAGTAAAAATATTAACTATGTAATTTTTTGAGGGTCCACACAGGGATGATATATTTTAGAGACTCCTCGCTATCTTCTTACCTACCTATAGTGTAAAAGTTACTCCAGGAAGCCATTCCCTGATTTACTTATTGGTGACTCATCCCTACGGCCCACCAAAATTTTGGCAACGGCTGTGAACGGAATCTCATGAAAACTTGTTCTTTCTTGTACTTTGTATTCCTTTAATTCATAAGTGATCTAAAAAAAATCGAAATGTCAATTTAAAGAGGAGGTTTAGGGGTATTTTAGCTCCTACAGTCTGGCCATCGAACCCTGGATCACCCTGTATACAGCTGCTGAAAGTTTTCATGGACAGTTTTGTTTGGAATTTTAAACTTTACATCCTTCTCCCCGCCTTTTGAAGGACTCAACGTTTTATAAAGGAGCAGCAAACAATAGTGAACGCAGCAATCAAAGCTGGACTCCCCATCAAGAGGCAAGATATAATTAAAGAGGAGCAATTTAAGTTAAAACAATTTTCACTATAAATAAAAATAATAGCATCGCCAGATAGCCATTTTTGAGTACCATGAGGTATCGCTTCAATCCGATATAAGAAAAGCCATTTCTTTCTTTTCCCTTCATCCTGTTGGTGTCAGCAAAAGTGCAGTCAGTTTTTGAAAGCTCTGTGATAATCTCTCCGTGCCGAAAAGGAGTATTTTCAAGTTAGATTACCGAAGAAACTTTTTAAATGTCGGACTATTTTTTTTTGCCGAGAAAGGCGTTTAATGTCGAAACAGGGCTGCGACCATGACAAAACTCGGACCTTGAATTTCGTTCGCGATCCCAATCTCTCTGGATACAACTATTCGTGTTCGACGGATGCCCGTGTTGCATACCGAAAAATTGAAGGCGTTTTGGTTTTCATCGTGTTCACTGCGACCATGAATTCTTTTTAACTTCCCGTTGTGTGAATTGTTTTCTACGTAAGATTTTGAAGAGAAATCAGGTAACTTTCCTAGTTCAGACTTTTTGTACCGCCGTGCTCAGGAAGAACGCCGTATGAGCCTTCAGGCGCTGCCAAGTTTCCTTCGATAAAATATGAATGTATTGAGAAACTTAAGAATGTTTTTATTCAAATTTTAATGACAATATTGTTCTCAGTTTAATCTAAACTATCAGGAAATTTCAAGGAAATATGTATAAATTTCTTCCAAAGGAAACATTTTATCGGTGGAAATTTAGCACCTCTCGAATGCACATACAACGTTTTTCTTTAGCACGTTGTAGAGTCCCTTTATACTGAGAGTCAAGACAATTTGAATCCATTTCTGATTGGTTTCCCGTATTTTAGGCCTCCACAGTGTCACAAACGGGAATAAAGATTACATTTTCACCAATTGCAAAGATTATAATCTGGAATGGATCAGGGAATTACGGGTTCGGCAAGGAACAAACGGAATGAGAGGAGGAACGGAGAAAGGCATTTGAGAATGGGCCGATCAAAGATTACGAAAAACGTTCAATTTCTGTAATCTTTATTCCCGTTTGTGACATCCATGAGCCGAATTGTCTTGACTCTCAGTATAAAGGGACTCTAGCACGTTGATTGTTGCCCATTGTCCGCGTCATGACCTTTAATTTTCTGAGGTTCTGAGATATTTATATGATGGTATCTTTTTCAATGAAATCGACTGTGACTCTCTCTCTACTGGCCAATACATACTATTACATTTATTCCCAAGATATTTTATTACTCAAGCAATTTTCTCTTTACTTTTACTTGTTTTTATGATTTTTCACTCATTTAATTAAGTTCATTTAGATAGAATTATGAATTGGATTACCTTCTTCTCCCTTTCATGGAAATAACACCTCACCAGCTACTTGCGATCAGCGGTGGCACACCCTCATCTTCATCAGCGCTGTGAACACCATGAAAACCAAACGCCTTCAATTTTTCGATATGCAACACGCGCATCCCTCGAACACGAATAGTTGCATCAAACAGTTGTGTATTCAGAGATTGCTAATTCGAGCGAATTTCGTCTACAAGGAAAAGTCTGACTACGTTTTTTCGTTGTTCCTTAGCAAGAGAGATTATCACTCGTCTGGTGGCCAATGGTAATCAGTTTTGTGGTGGTTTCACGA